CAAGGGGTTAACCTTGCTTTTTATTAAATTTGGACAAAATCTGATTTTGGTCACAAATTCCAATCTATAAGGGGTTAACCTTGCTTTTTATTTAATCTGGCAAAAATCAGATTTTGGTCACAAATTCACAACTGCAAGGGGTAACTCTTGTATTTTTATTAAATTTGGACAAAATCTGATTTTGGTCACAAATTCCAATCTATAAGGGGTTACCCTTGCATTTTGTATTACATTTGGGCAAAATGTGTTTTTGTCAAAAATTCATTTCTGTAAGGGGGTAACTCTTGCATTTGTATTGAATCTGGGCACAATCTGATTTGGGTCACAAATTAACAACTGCAAGGGGTTACTCTTGTATTTTTATTAAAATTGGGCAAAATCTGATTTTGGTCACAAATTAAAAACTGCAAGGGGTTAACCTTGCTTTTTCTTTAATCTGGCCAAAATCAGATTTTGCCCAATTTTAATAAAAATGCAAGGTTAACTTCTTGCTTTTTATCTAATCTGGCCAAAATCTGATTTTGGTTACAAATTCACAACTGCAAGGGGTTACTCTTGTATTTTTATTAAATTTGGACAAAATCTGATTTTGGTCACAAATTCCAATCTATAAGGGGTTACCCTTGCATTTTGTATTACATTTGGGCAAAATCTGTTTTTGGTCACAAATTCACAACTGTAAGGGGTTACTCTTGTATTTTTATTAAAATTGGGCAAAATCTGATTTTGGTCTAAAATTGAAAAGTGCAGGGGGTAACTCTTATTTTTTTCGTAAATTTGGGCAAAATCTGATTTTGGTCTGAAATTTCACTCTGCAAGGGGTTAACTTTTCATTTTATTAAATAAAGGCAAAAATCTGATTTTCATCAAAAGGTCATATCTGTAGGGGTAAGCCTATCATTCTGATTAGATCTGGGCAGAATCTGATTTTGATCCGAAATTAAAAATTGCAAGGGTTACTGTTGCATTTTTATAAAATTTGGGTGAAAATTCAAATCGGCAAAAGGTTACTCTTGCACTTCATAAAACCTTGGCAAAATCTGAGGTTTTGTTTCTCAGTTAAACCATGTTTTCATCAAAACTGGTAACAATTCTGTAACTAGCTTAAATATCTGATTTTTTACCAAAATTTAAGTTTGGACCAAACCTTACTTCTTCAAGAGTAAAACTTGCATTTTTAATAAAACTAAGAAAACTTTGACTTTAGGTCAGAAGAAAAAATCTACATTTTTGATGTTGTACTGCACTGCATGACCGGGAAAAAAGTCTACTCAAAGTACCATATTTTGTTAAAGTACCATATGTTGTCAAAGTACCATGTCTTGTGAAAGTACCACATCTTGTCAAAGTACCACATCTTGTCAAAGTACCATATCTTGTCAAAGTACCATGTCTTGTGAAAGTACCATATCTTCTCAAAGTACCAAATCTTGTCAAAGTACCACATCTTGTCAAAGTACCATGTCTTGTGAAAGTACCATATCTTGTCAAAGTACCACATCTTTTCAAAGCACTGTTGAAATAGCAATCCCAGTATCAAACAAGTAGAGCTACACTAAAACTACATGCACCAGCGACAGCATTGTCACTCTGTAAAGTCTAAATTTTGTGAAATATGGTCGGAATCCTTTGGAAGAATTGGACACTTTTGCTCTGTAGATGTTCCGACCATGTCCAATGCTTATGCATTCGATATTTGGTCACTAATTTGTCGGGAAAAAAAGAAGTTTTGTGTACTTGATATGCATCTCCCCATCACTGAAACTCCTATTACTTACTTCTGCAGCACTGAAATATCTTCATGACATGAATATTCAAAGCCAACTACACGTACATGTAAATGAAAACAAAGATGTAATAATCAAATGCACTCTTAAAAAAGAAAAGCCAAAAACCGAAGTCCAAACCATTAAACCGCATCTCTCATAGTATTTACAGAGTAGAGTACTTTCTATGTGTATGAAATTTACATATATGTTGTCTTAAATGCTTTTGGAAGTGGTTATATATGTATTTTTATAGATCCTTGTCATTTGATTGGAGGATTGTAGGTCATTTGATATTTTATAAACAGGCTATTTCACGGCTAACGTCATAAACGTTGAAATTTGTTATATACACTCTGCATTTTTGGTCACATGCACAGTTTGATCTATTGCACGCGAAGGACTTCAATACATAACTGGTCAACAGAGGGCACTTGTTATGCCCATGGTCACTAAAATGGCGGCGGGTTCAAGCAATTTCCTGTTGCTGAATGAAGAGGAAATTTTGTCTTTTCGCTTTAACTTTTCAATTGGACACCAAGTTTGAAGAAATCTATATAATGGACCAGGAAAAAAGCAGATGACAGAAGAAAAGTACCTTATTTATATTTACATATTTTATAAATGTTGCCCTCCAATGATATGACAAAGATCTACTTAGATGTTATATAAAACAAATAGAGAATGTTTTTCATGAGTGCGAAGGTCAGAATGTTTTCATGAATTGAAAGATGAAATGTTCCATTCAACAAGCCGCAGGCGAGTTGAATGGAACATTCCATCTTCCAACCTATGACAATATTCTTACCATTGCACTCATGAATATTCATTCTTTTGTATCCTAAATTGAATACTTGGCAGAGTGTACATTCTGGTACATTTTTCTGTGTACTGCTGGTTGAATAAATGCCCTTACACTGCATACATAATCCAAACCTCTTTCTCCATGCTTGTACGTTGTTTCTGAGTAAAAATCACCATGATAAATGCCCATAAATACAATCTGCATACCGGGTTCCCACGGAAATTCAAAAACCAAATTCCATGACTTTACCAGGACGTTTCCCAGGACTAAAATATCACAACTTCCATGACATCAACACCGTTTTGTAGAGAAAAGTTCTTTGGTTTTTATGATATTTTCCCAGGATTTTCCATGACTGGGGAATCCTGTATGTGGACATTTCACTGTCCGCAAATGCAAGACCGTGATCAAACTTCTAAGATATACCTTTCAAGGAAAAAAAATTAACAGTGGCAGGCCAGGTGTGTCAACGTTCTTGTTTCTGATGTATTATTTATTACAAAATGCAAAAATGTTAGGAATCGGTGGGGTCAGGCTTTAGAAGTGGCCTTTTGTTGACAGAGGATAAACAACATGTAAAATTATGCCTGCATAAAAAAAGGAATTACACAATTTATCCCATTCCGTGTAAACTTACGGTTCGCTGGTTCCCTGCCTGATGTTGAGCTTGAGCAAAGCAAGACTTAGCTTCATAGTAAATCGACATAGGAACCAGGGAAGTTGCCCCGTTGTCCACCGATCTCTCCAAACCACCATCCGTCATCGAATTTCTGGATGACATTGATGACATCCCCTGTGGGAAAAAAAACAACAATATTTGCAATTTTTACCGGTCTGAGTTTTTGGTAAATATAAATACTGCCACAACTCTTAAACTGCGCACAAGTTTTGTGGTGGACTGGAAGTCCTAACAGGACTTGTGCCGGTCTGCAAGAGTCTCATCGACAGCGCTGGTTACAAAGCTCACCTTCTTTTAGCGATATTTCCTCCGGTTCTTGAGCCTCATAGTCAAACTTAGCCATGCACTGTCCGATCACGGGCCGCACTTGCTCTCCATCGAAACTGTTGACACCTGCAGTCACACAAAGTGCATTTCAGAACCATTCCATGCCGTAAGTCACTTTCGGTTTTTTTTTTTTTTGGTTCTGTTTTTAAATGCCGTGCTGACAAAAATCACTTCTGAGACCTGGCATTCATGCCTAATCATCTTGTGATTGTTACACTGACAGTGACGAAAAAATGAACATACTATTTACCATTTACAGGCAGAAAGGTGATAGCTTCTTTAACCACTTCCTGCCGGGTCGAATTTGCATGTGCGAGATGAGTTCCTGGGGGATTTTCAAGATTTTCTGTTTTCAAAGTTTTCAACATTAACGCCTACATGAATGACTGTCTGGTGGCTACTCTAATCTGACAGGCAACCTCAGTTGATGCCAGAGTACTGCAGCCAGGCCTGCCGCCTTGTAAAGAGAGCCCAGATTGTGTAGTATTGCATAATTTCCTTTGTTCCCGAAATTAGCCCAGTGCATTGCTGAATGCCAGTGGCGTCTTTTCAAATGCGGCTGGATTAGCATGCAGCGGTACTGTATCACTCATCGCTGGAGCACTTGTGTCCCCACTGATAATCCACTGGCACTGAATACCATAAACGGTGGTATACTGTGTCAAAACAATGACGGATTACCTCCGCTAATGCCAACTGAAAAATGATGGCAAATCCCGGCAGCTTGGTCTTTTGTTCCGAGTACGGTCTTTTGTTACAAAGCCCAGCTCTTTTGTCCGATTTCGGTCACCCCGGCTATGCATACAAACTCAAGGTGCCCGGTTCTGAAAGCCCTGAAGGCAAGTGATTAAAAATTTTCTGGCCAGTTTCCTTGCCTTATATCAACCCACTGACACAGAAAATGCCCTTCATCGATTCAGAATACCGGTAGAATTTTATCTTGACATTTATTCTATCCTCTGATGTTGCCTCCGTGCAGAAAACAAAAGTTGACCTTTATAAAGACTAAAACAGCATGGCCTTGCATGATCTTCAAGCACCTGGGACTTACTATTGCTATCAGACGGGCTCAACGGTAAATTGTGAGCACCATCGGCCATTCCCCGCCCATCCACCTCACTCACTGATGACATCGGAGCAGTTGGCCGAGGCATCTTCAAGACACTAACATTCACTCCTTGCTGCATAAAAAAGACCCATGAAATTAGCCCTTCATACAAAAGATCCTCTCAGATTTTCAATTTTTCTTTGTTCCATGTTCAAGTCATTCCGTACTGAGGTAAACTGTCATCCGTACACCAAACATTGGTGAGCATCAGCCACCTCAAAGTTTCTTGGCTATGGCTTGCAGTAACACACCAACTACTGACTTCAAGCATTCCCCCATAGATGCATGTATCATTGCAAACCCAAGCCAAAGCCAGATGCGATGAAGTCGATAAGATAAGGCCATGTCCGAAACGGGCTTCCAGAGCTACGGCTAGGTCTATTTTCTGCGCGTCTCCACACATTTCCAATGGAGCGAAGACCTAGACCTAGCTCTAGACAAGAGATTCGGATGTGGCCTAAGTCTCAGATGCATCATTTGACTTCTGAGGACATGAAGAACACAGCACTCTCTAATATCTGCCCAGGGTAGGCCTCGCTGCACAGTTCACTGGAGTGTTGTTTGGCTGAGCATTGGTTTTAAATAGTCCAGCTGATGTTAAACAGGCTAAAAATGCCCACACAAGTGCTGTGATAAAGAACAGGAAGGATAAGCAGTCCAAACAAGGTCTTAAATGTCACAATGCGAACACATGAAGAATGGCACACCCATGCCTAAAACAGATCTGTGAGCAGGTGCGGGAGTGAAAACAACAGGTGGCCAGAATAGATAGGTGGTCCAATTTACATACAGGAGGCCAACATCCATGTAAAAAGGTACATGCAGCCAAAAATAGACAGGTGAACAGAACAATACTGTGAACAGGTGGTTACAAATTGATATGTGGTAAGAGCAGACAGGTGTCTCGAGGGCAAACAGGAAATTGTGGTTTTGAAGCCTTCTTTTTTCTGTGCACGGAGTGCGTCTCAAGGATCAGGCAAATCTGGCTATAAGTCAAATGGAGTTTTTCCAGTTTTGCCAAATTTCTGTTTGGTTAGCTGAACTACAGTGTAACGGAATCGTCACGATGGCATGTTACAGCAAAATTGTCAACAGCATCACTGCTTGAAATGCTGAGAGAACACCAATAGACACAAAGATTTGAGGTGAAATTTCTATTTACAATACGACACATGATATGAAGCTTGGCGTCATCGCAATTTTTTGCCCCAAATCTCCAAACTGGTTAACCAAAAACCACAGCTATTCTGCAAACTCTTCCTCTTCTCAGAAACTTGGCATAATTCTGGATTTTTCTCCAAACGCCATGAGGTAAAAATGATAACAAAGCCGCAAAGATTCTGGAGTTCAGCCACAAAGCCGCAAAATCTGTTGAACCAAACAGAAATACTGCCTACTGATTGCGGTGAGTGCCACCTACGTGCTTGTCTTTCTCCGTCTTGATGAAGGAGCTGATGTCATCGCTGGGCTTGGGCTTTTTGTCCATCAGGGCGATGGCTGCCATGATCTTGAACTTGCTGGCGCGAAGCATATTGATCATCTCCTCCGACTGGAAGAGAACAAAAAAATTGGGCAAGATCGGTGGGAAACTACGTACAAAAAAGCCCTGAACAACACACCGCAAATAGTACTGGGTGATTTCTTTGATCACTAAACTCTGAGCAACTAAGACTAAATATGTTCTTACATGGAACCAACGTATGTAAGAAACTGACAGTAAGTTGAACAGAACAGCAGGGACCTGCTTGGCCATCTGTGTTATCAGTAAACACCTGCTATACATTTTCAGGCTTTCCTCTCCGATCCAATTAAAGTTCAATACTCACATGGCCCATCTGCTGCACAACATCTTCCTTGGCGTTGGCGTCTGCATAGCTTGGGTTGTCGGCGTAAGCGCCCGACAGACGAGCTATGCCTGTAACAGACATTAAATGAGATGAAGTCAAGTCTTCACAAGACTGTGATCAATAATCACCGACCAAACATGGTGCTGGAGTTAGGCATATTTCAAGGTCAAGACTTACATAAAAAATTATACAAGGCGGCATATTAAAGCAAAGCCCATTCATAGTCAACAACTGCAATATTTTGGAAACAGTCTCAGAAGGGTTACTTTGCTTGTGTCAGCAGCGGCACAAATCCGTTCTGGCTAGTAGCATATAGTAGAGGAGTGACAAAGGTCCTGAAACTACCTCTCAGTGGAAAAGGGGTATGAGGTCGAATACCATCTTACGCTTGAGGCGCTGGTCCCTCCCCCCCAACTTATACTCCTGGTTTTCACTGCTTTTAACCAGACCAGCATGGCTGGTTGCAGCTTCACAACATGACCCAAAGACGTGACATCACTAACCCGCTTTGACCTTCGTCTCCTTCTGGATCTCGCTGTCCAGAGCTTGCAGCTTGCTGTGGAGAGACTGACGTCGCCTGTTCAGGGTCATGCTGTTGGACAAATCCTCCTCCTGGGAAATTACAAAGGAAGAGCACGAGCTGTAGCGCATTCCTCGGGCATCTGGCAACAGCCTCCAGCAAGACACAGGGTGTCAGGTTGGCACAGCGGCACTTTTTTGGACTTTCATCTCTCCGACCTAAGTTCGAATACCACCCAGGCTGACCTGCGAATTTGGTTTTCCAGTCCCTACCTGACTCCACGGGTTACCATTGGCATCTGTCCAGGGTTTTCTTTCAACCTCAAACACTAAGTACTTCCTCAATATCTTCTCTTAAAAAGTTTCTCCAGGACTACGAGCCACCGTATCACAGTCTCTTTTGAGGAATCCTTGCTTCCATCACCAGAAGTAAATGAATAAAACAAATCTTAACCACAAAAACAAGCACAACACAAACTCAAGCTGCAAAATACATGCTGCTACAAGAAAATCTTACGCTGACACAAAAGTGGGTGATGAAACAGCTCCCTCAACGTTTTGACAATGTCGCGACAATGTGGCTCTAAATGAGAAGCAGGGAGCAAGGGGTAATGTGAAACTCACGTAAGGGTCGTACAGGACTTGGGAGACGTGTTCTCCATGGCGACTTTTATGCTGAGCTATGGCCATGACATCAGTATCAGGATTAATGCAGGTCACTGCGTGCGTCATCTCGCTGATATCCTGTGACCCAAAAAAGAAATACATGGATAGTCAACCAGCCATTTCATAACACTTTGATGATAATCGAAGCTGTTCCCAAACAAAGCTTCTTCTGTGATTTAAACATCTTTAGAGATGTATACAGCCGCACCCCCATCTTCAACAGAACTGTCAGTTCTGGGACAGAGCTTCGTACCTTCTGCAGTGGGTCTACCATCTTCAACAACAAGCTGTATCAAACAGAATCTTGCCTCGTGCAGCATTAAGAGGTTTGCTTTAGAATTACTGGGACAGGCAAGCCACAGAGAACAGAATCCTCTCCTTCTACAGCCCTTCCAAGCTTCACTACAGAGCTTTTTACCTTCTGCAGCAGCTCCAGCATCTTGGTCAGGCAAGCAGCGTGAGATAGCATCTCTTCCTTCTAGAGCTCAACCAAGCTTTGCGACAGAACTTCTTACCTTTCACAGCGGCTCTAGCAATGGACAGGCAAGCAGTTTAGAATATCATCACCTCCTTGTACAGCTCAAACAAGCTTTGTGACAGAACTTCTTACCTTTCACAGGGGATCTAGCAATAGGAAGGCAACCTGTGTAGGATAGCATCACCTCCTTCTAGAGCTCAACCAAGTTTCGTGACAGAACTTCTTACCTTTTGCAGTGGCTCCAACATCTTGGACAGGCAAGCCGAGTAGGACAACATCACCTCCTTCTGCTGCCCGATCCTCTCCTTCTCCAGCTTCTCCAGCGTGGTCACCGCCTGGCGGAGGACCTTCTCAAACTCGTGCCTCGCTCTCTCAGTGGCCTTGGTGAGGTTCAGGTAGTCCATGTCCGCCTTGGATGCCGCCTCGTCAGCTTTTCTGCTCTTGGATTGTAGCTGCAAACATGCAGAGTACCGGCATAACAGATTTGTTCTCATAACTTTGATAGATCCTTCAAAATTCATAACGAGGTTCCGAAAGATTTTGTAGGATATGAGGAATGTACATCCAAGCCCCAACTGCTCTGCACGGGACTTGATGCCATTTGAAGCTTAAATACAAGTGGAGGAATTTGAAGGACTAGGGATGGTTCTTAACAAATATTGTCCAAGAATGTAGAATTAAGATGGGAGTTAGGACAACAGAGCCTTTGCAACATTGGTTCGTAGAGTAGTGCCTGTTCATAATGTCAAGTTTATTATATCAGGTTGAAATTTAGTTTATGATCAAAAATGATCAAAGTGGTCAGTTTTTTGGGTTACCTTTCCCAGCTCCTTGTCTGAAAGCACCTTCCCTTTGGCGGTGGGATCCTCCAAGATAGCTTGCATCCCTTCGCTCTCCTTGGTCTTGGAGTGGGTCACCTTCTTAGCCTACAGAAGACAAACAGGGGGCATGGAGAAGGAAACTTTGAGCTATCGCTGGGCCAAGACATCATTTCCTTCCTAGGTGTTTACTTAAGACCTGTTGCTGCCTGGTATGCGGCCTGCATAGTCTAGTTATGTGCTTGAGAGCATCAAGAGACCATTTGGAAGGCCGTTCATGAGCCAATGAGTCAATGCCAAAGAAATGCCACCCCAGACAACTTTTCCAGTGGCATGCCCCTACCTCCCGAACTAGTCTGTCCACAATTAGTTTGTTAAAAAATCCTACGGTAAAAACAACTTTGGCTTCAATGTGATATCTATCTGGGTACAAATTCTGAAATACCAACCTTCACCATTTCAGCCCGCTTGTCATGCCATGCCTTGCACGCCTTGTCGACATTCGCCTCTGCCTGAAACGCCAACCAACACAATTTAGAATCTGAAAAGATGTTTCTAACGCACAAATGCAGTCAAACAAACTCTTAAAACTGAATAAAATCCAGACAGAACTCTATTCAAAGTCACTTCTGACAAAACAAAGGGGCATCCTTCAAAAACAGGCTTTATTTTTGTGAGGTGGAAGGGGGATGAATCTTGTGTCAAACCCTGTCTGGTCGCAAATGGAATGCAAATCTACTCAAGAATCAGCGCATCATTATTAGAACCTACCGTTTTTCGAGCTTTCATGTGCATATCAAAGTAGGTCTTGAGTCTTTTGTAGATGTCCTCATGAAGACACTCAGCTGATACTCTGAAAAACGCAAGAACATCACAAATTTGACAAGAAGAACATAGCTTAGATGTGCACCGTAATTACTCCTAGCATTTACATGTACTGAACAAGTTGGGTTCCTGCTACACAACCTAAATTTCTGAGATGGTATTGCTAAAAAAAAATTGGGACAAATATACATGTACACCACTCATTCCTCAATTTTCATTGCGCCAAACAATCAAACTTGACAACCATACCGAATCCAGAACGATCAAACCTTGGACAAATTTTTGAAAGATATGAGCCAGGAACAAGACTTTTAGTGTGCATCACTGGATATCACTGGATCTGAGGAGGCTGACAGAGCAGAAAAGTGAAAGGATTTCAGGCATGTTCCGAGCTCTGAAAGGAGGTAAACTCTACAAACTCAGACCGAACGGAGGCCTGTGAGACTTCAGACAAGCAAAACAAACAGACATTTTAGTTAACGAGCATCTCACTTGTGATGTTCTGCTTCGTTGTTGAGATGTCCACAAAAAATATTCCATGCAGCCATTAATGATCTAGAAATAAAAACAGAGAGAGAAAAATGCACTGGGTTTTACTAAACGTTGTCTGTTTAAAACCAGACATGCATGAGGTATATGTACAAGAATATACACACTAACAAAAACAAGCTTTTCAGACAACTGAAGTGTTACAAAAAGGGCATTTGTCTGGGGTGATGGTAGGTTGGGATTGGGGAAGAGTGGTTCACGGAGGACTTATGAATATGCAATTAACTGAATAACTAATTGGTCCTTACCCTGTGGCATCTTTGTTGCATTTCAGGGCCTTGGCGTTCAGCTTGGCAATACTTTTGGCATAGGTAGACTCTATTTCAGCTCTATGACAATGAGGAAGAAAAACACACGTTTTTTAGGGGGAAAACAGAGAAGAAAAACTGCACATCCAGTTATAACCAAATAATTCCACAACTACACAACCTTTGCACATTGGAGCCCATGAACCTGCACTGAAAAATCTCCCGTCACATTTGTGCTGCCCGCCTTAAGAACAGCAAAAAATAACACGTCCAAGTCTTTACGCATGTGTCTCAAGTGATATCCATGTCGAGTATAATGGAGTGATTCGTGTTTTCCATCTGATAGTTGTGACTGTCATCCCATGAAGTACATGTAAACAAGTTGGAAAAGAAATGGATGAAACACGAGCAACAATATTAGCAAAATTCCACTATTTAAAACCCCACTTTTGCTGTAACAGTCACAGACAGTCAAAAATTCCTGCCCCTTGATTGGCCACAATACACCCACACACGGGGGTCATTTGACTGATTTTGACCGACAAGACAACTGTGCCAAGAATGCATCTCTGCACAGGAGGGCTTTAATCTGGTTTCCTAATGGACTACACATTGTGAGAAGTTAGACGGCTACAGTGATTCTTATGCACTGGTTTACAGGGTTTGAATTCCACAGTATTGAGACCCTGCAACGATAATATCAGTCTCAGTTTAATTATCAGTCTCAGTTTATCGGCAGTATACCGCACACAGATGCTCCACCATCTGTATACTGTAAAGCTTATCTGGGAGGGGTCTCAATGTCCAGAGATTATCTCTACTGGTGGCAACCACACACGTAGTAGAGGGCACAATGACTGCTGCGTTATCCACCATGATGGTGACACCACAGAAATAGAATTAATTTAACCACAATGAACCCACTGGGAGCCACACCCACAAGCACATGGTTGAATGTACATGTACAGTACTTGACTGAACATGATTAATTGGAACTCCAACTGAGAGAAACTGTACTCAGGTGGAAAGAAAAACCATATGATACATCCAACTGACACTGCAGATGCCAACTGCATGCTAGAATACATGCATGTATACATGGGCCCTTTTCCAATACTCAACTTGGGCTCCCTCTCAGGCTTCGTTCCCAAAACCAATCCCCGATTGTGGGCCTGAAGCGTTTAAATTAAATTGGATTACTGTAATTTCTGGCTTTCTTGCATCTTATTTGATGTTCTGTGGCACTATTAGACTAATTACTGCGCTTACAGCTTCAAAGCTAGCTAGTTAAAAAACAGTTGAAGCCTGAGACGGAGCCGAAGTTGAGTATTGGAAAACGGCTATGGGAAAAATCAATTGAATATCATGGTATCAAGTCACACAGTGGCATGTACATGTACATGCACAGTGTAATGCATCTACGGTTCCTTCTGAATCATTCATTCACGTCCAGTTGCAATCTAGTTCTCCTTAACAAGGCCATCTAGTCAGTCGATTCTACTGTACGCCATTCATTGGATCCGGGATATGATTGCTCCATGGACTGGCCTGGTGCGTGTGGCACTGGTGGGTGTACTGAAAATGTGCAATAGTTCTATACATTACTTTGCTTCGGTTTCTCTGCACAGATGTTTCACACTACAAGTTTCTGTCTAGGGGGTGAGTGGGTGCGAAAGGGGAAGCCAACCCTCAAATTTATGGGTTCTGTTGTCGAAAGGCCAATGGGCTTTATTCTCCAGTTAGCTATTTTTAATCCTGTTCCTCCTATCACTGGCCTTAACTGTTAACTCTTCAATGGGACAGTATCAGACTACTTGAGGATTTTTTTGTGGGTTGCAAACCTCTGTCTCTTTTGACCTACATGTAGGTACATTTTATCACAAGTTTCAATTCATTCATCAGAGTAGGCAGGTACATGTAATAACTTGTCAGGACTCAGGATATTTGATTTCCAAGTTCAAAAATGAAAAGTTAATTCACTTGCTTTCAATATCAACGTGGCTGACTCGTGCATAAGGTTCATGCCAGTTGGAAGGCAAATCAATACAACGAGACACAGTTTTCAAAATATTTCTTTTGGAGTCAAGTGACCCCAAGTGGCAATGCCATGATCTTGGTGAGGATGCACAGTATATAGGGCAAAGGTTTGTGTGCACTTGGCCCAGGCCATGCTGAGCACCCACAAGGGCACATGTGGGGGGAGGAAGGGTGACAAGGGGTCATCCCCAAAAAGGACAACATTTTGTTCAGTCTTAGGAGAATAATGAGTGAAATGTGATTTGGAGGGGGGGACTACTTCATTCCCTTTCTGTCTAAATGAGTGTAAAAAGCCCCCAAATTCAGCCTCATTCCTCAAAAAGGCCATAAAAATAAAAAATAAATTAAGAAAACGAAAGGAGTATATGCGCGTGTTGGTTTACATGCTGGTTCTTGCGCTAATGCCTTTTACACACATATAACACTGTGCGCATGATGTGTTCACTTCCGAACTCTACAGCATCTCTTTGAATTCAACTTGGGAGAATCTGTCCTACCTTTCTTGGAAGATGCTCATCACTGAGGAACTGAAGTCCGTGGCTTGTCTCATGTGCTTCTTCAGCTCTGCATACCCAGTCTCATCCTACATAAAGGGTAACAGGGTCAGGGCATGGGTCAAAGGTCATCTCCATAAAATAGCAATGGAAATACTTCTCTAGATCAAATACGCTAATTATTCTAACCATGTCTATGTCATGACTACACCACAAGACACAGTTTAAATGAGGTCGTAGAGGAAGGTCTCCTTGATAGTGCGGTCTCTTACCTTATAAAGTTTTTTACCAAGTCTGCAAGAGCCTGTTTGCTGTTGCAAATGTCTAAACACCAATCAGAAAGTTCTTTAAGCTGGGGTTTCTCCTGCCTATTCAAGTGTGAGGCACCCCACCTCACTGATTTTACATGTACACTGTACATGTAAGTGACCACCTCCGGCTTTTCTGTTTTTACCACCTCACACTTGAAATGTGGTAAGAGATCAGTTTTAAATCGTTCAGAACAGTAAAGAGGGACACAGTATACAAACTCAATCTAATTTAGAGAGGACATTTGGAGTACATGTACTATTAGACTAAATAGAATTGATTCCAGGCCTTTTTGAAACCACTCGCTTTTGTTCTAGGCACTAGAATTTGGGCAAAATTTATTTCACCCTCTCACACCTCACAGTACTCAGAGGAAACCCTGGTCTAAGCTACAAGTACATGAATATGTAATGTACAGGTTTGCTTGATTTGAAGGCAATTTACTGGAAACCGGCAGGCAGTTTAAATCTGACCGAAAAGTGAACATGACAGCCAGACACCCACAAGACACCCTATGTCCCCTCTGGGCAAACCTTGCTGCCAAGGCCACTTACTGCAAATGACCAAACCTAACTGATACAAGGCTCACAAAGACAGTTGCCTGGTTACCCACTTGTTGTCCTGAATTAATTTGGGGAATCATTTCTTCAGGCCAAGGCTGGGATCTATACAGCGGTACTGCAATAAGAATAATGCCTGACCATTATTTCAAGGCTCGGTGTCATTTCCCCATCTACAGTCTGACAGTCCATGTACATTGTAGCTGATTCCTGGTTTTAACTCGTTTTCTCCATGTACCACCATGGAGCTATTAAAAGGGGTAACATAGTACCAGATGTGATTTCAAATCATGAGGCCACCAATACAGGCAGCTCCCCAGGAAAGACACAACTTTTGCGCAAACACAGAATTTGGGGTGAACTTTATTGAAAGGAACTCTGATTGAAAGTGGGAAACTAGTGTTTTTTATGCATGGCTGCATTGTTCAAAAATTAAATGTTCAGATCTCACAAATATTGTCTCATAAGGATAATAAAATATCAGTGCTTGTGCCTTTCGGCTCTCGACGTGACATATAATAATAATGACAGTAATAGTAATAATTTACAACATAAATTATTCACAGAATACACATGTATACATTTACATGTACATAGGGCTGTGCAAAATATCCGAATTACCGCATATTCAATCAATTATTGAATATTCAAATATTAATCTGAATTTGAATATTCGAATGCAAAATTCATGAAAAGGAAGAAAGAATTTTCTTTTGTTTTAAATGAAAAAAATTGCACTATGGAAGCTTGTTTCAAGCAGATTCAAATGAAAAACGACAGAAATCTTACAATTCAAAAGTGAATTATTCATTAAACAATTTTAAAGGAACAGAAATTTTCAACACGGCAAGAAGTATTATTGATCTCTTAAATCTTGCTAATCGTGTGCTAGATGTGAGAAACTATTATACTAATTATCATGTACAACTGTGTGTGTTGTTGTAACTGATTTTGTACATGGTTTGTTCATCAACAATCTGCCGGTCAGTACGACCGAATACTCGGTCGAACCGAAGGCCGAATATTCAAACAGTGAATTATTTGAATTGACTCAGCCCTACATTTGCATGTATCAGCACTACTACTGAAAGCACTACTGCATGCAAATTATAGTTAAGAAGCCAACCGTGTATTACATGCATAAAGATAAATGTACGTACATGGCTCTAATTGTCTGTCGCCACTGTCCCAAATGGTGAATATGTATTGCTGGTTTGCTAGTTTATTTAATTCGAACTGCCAATAGCAGCCCAAGGGCTGAATTGCTGAGCAGTTTTACAACAGAACTACACAGATAAAGTAAAATGAACAATACACACAGATAAGCATAAATTACAATTTACATAAAATTGTTCAGGACATTTAAAACGAAGAATATATATGTATATTAACTATCTGAATATTAAAAAACTTTGACTACAAACGTGTACATGTACATGTATGAGTAATCCTGAGTTCCGTACTTGAGAAAAATTGTTGTATTTAGTGCAGCATTAAGTGGCTGAAAAAAGAACATATGGCTAACCACAAAGATAAACTAATAAAACAAAATGGGCTACTGCTTAGTTGTATCTCGGATGTACTTTCAATACTTACAATGAATGACTTTGCAAAGTGGTCCATATTGGTGATATTCCTTGAACAATCAGTTGCAAGTACTTCCTCTATTTATATCACCGGTGCATTCAACTGCAAATATTCAGGAAATCTACTGACTCGGTGCAGCTTGTTGGTTTTGGAAACTCCCGATCAGATGAGGAAATCTGTGTACTTTGTAATATGTTGATTTGTTTTTCACACCAAAAACAGGCAACAATGCACTTCCTTCTGAAGCCAGCCCCACAATGAGGCTAATTGTCTGACTAAACTGTCAACTTGAACAGCATGTGACCACCAAACCCAACTGGATCTTCCTTTTTTCACCACAAGTGATTCGCGATCACAAGCCCGTGCTGTTTTTCCATTTGCAAACTCTGAATCATGCACTGTTTATTATGAGCACCGTAGTGCACGGCTAAATATGTACCAGCCCTATTCCAAAGGTCACGCAAGCCAGTACAGATTGATAGGGTTTAATCTTGTTAATATTCTGCCCATCATTTGATAACAGTGCACAAATTGAAGTGCAGTTAAATACTGCATTGAGACCTGTAACGCCATTGGCTAAACCTCCTATATCAAAATCAACATTATCGGGGTGAGTTTTTTTTTCTGAAAATAAGCTGAATTTTTTTAAAAAGGTTAAATTTATTATTTTTTTAAATTTACCCCAAAATTAAATTTCACTCTCCTGCACATGTACTTTTTCGATTTTGGACGGGATCGGCATACTAGTATGACGATCCTGTCCAAAATCGAAAAAGAGGAATACTAACGCTCCACTCAGTAGAGCTAGGTCTGATGTTACTTCCACAAAATTTATGAGTGTACTATCAACAAGGTTTCTTGAATTAAATAGATGGGCAAGCAATATTATTTTGAGGAAAGTGTCATTTAAATTGTAGTAGGCCTAAATAACACTTGAATTAGAAGATAAACAAAAAACTTTAATATGCTAAATGTAGAAATTACAGAACATTTAATGGCACTACTTCTCATGTGATATTTTAAACAAAAAGTAATAAAATCTTAATTTTGGATGTGGCATAATGCAATTCAAATTAAACTTGAGTCATATGAATAGCAGAATAAGCCTTATCGCAATATTTCTATACAGCATGGCTGACTTTGCACAACTGTTGAAAGGCGTTGTGGGAAGGGAAAAGGGGCAATGTTTGCCCCTTTTCCCTTCCCATGATGCCTTTATACTATCACTCTTGCAGTATCACTATCAGCGATAAAGCTTATGACGGACTCCCTCAGTCATGTGTCCGTAACTAGTCTAGCCACAGAATGGGAGGCTATAGTTCATGATATTCAATACTTCCTTTCCAAAATATTTCACAATTATTAGAATACGAAACTGCGTGCACGTTCGTTGACCGGGCACAGCAGCTGAAAGCGCGATACGCTTGAATACCCCACCTCCATGAATACCCACATACAGTGTGGCGAAACACCATAGGCCTGCAGTCAGTAGCTTTCAAGGGTATTCTCACAAGTTACAATTAGGCTTCATGATGTAGGCCTATTTGACTTTCTCCACGCTCAGGCCTACTTCTTAGTTCTGATAAATTATTCTTAAACACTTACCGTAAAGACTTCTTTGAACTCCATTCTCTTTTCCTGGTCGTCCTAAGTTCCCTGTTGTTCAAATATCGGTTGTTATGGCCAAATTTTGGGCCATATTTTCGAGCCTTCCGTTAGGCACCACCTGTCAATTTCTGAAACTTTCACAAACTTGGGAGTTAAACGCCCTCTACGACCATATGCAAGACATTGACTGCCGTTTGTCCGAGTCGGCGCGAATAACATGGAAAATTTCACGTCTTTCCTTTTTTAGAATGGTTTTTAAGCCAAAAGTTTTGGAATGGTAGGCAAAATTAACTGTTTTGAGGGGTTAATTAATTTTCGAACCAAAAATCATCATGATCGGGGTAAAGTGAGGTCGCTGAGGTGGGAGTGATGGGTAGGTATATCATGTCACTTGCCAAGTAATTTCAAACCGAAGTGTGTAAAAAGAAATTATTTAACACAGTGACAAATTGGCGCCAATATGTTCCACTGGTCATACGCGCGTCAACTTTATTTCCATGCTGTCTTTTTCAATTTTATTTTTCAGTTGATATAGCTCTTCGGTCCTTGTTCATCAGACTTCACGGAGTAAAAAAAGTAGAGTCCCCTAACGTGGCGCAAATTGTGACTTTCACTTAATTAACATTCCTCTAGCTCACTGCATTTGCCAAACATTTTCACCGAAAAACTAAAAACTCACCTGGTTAAATACTGGTACCATTTCCCTCACAATACATTTGTGAATAACATAATAACAGAATAACATTTAAAAAATTCTAAAGTTGATAAATTCTTGTAAAACATCATTCCTTCTGCTCGCCTACCCATAAACAAGTGTAAAAATCATTTCCATATTTTTGGGCACATATTCTAAAAGCGTTCACTTTGCGCGTCAGAAAAAAATTCGGAATATTGGGTGAAAATTTTAGCAGATACATAAAATTGAGATTTATGAATCAGAATCATAGGAATTTGATGAAGTTTGACTGACTGTGAAATTGAGGTAAAAATAATGCTCCGGTAAGACACAAGAGGCGGAAAATTAAAGCGCGCCACCGTAGGGTACATAATTTTAAAAAGCTACACTTCATTTTTTCACATATTATGATGGATCCACTTTTCCCTTAACTTCTCTGATGTGTATGTTTGTGTATGTTTATTTTTGTTTATTTTCTCGTTGATTTGGAAGTGGAAAAAAGATTTATTGTATAGGGCTAGGCCTATTTGTTGTACAGGGCTAGGTCACGGTAGGCGAACTGATTACCATGGGTCACGCGCCGGCGCGGTATAGTGAATTTTTTTTCTTAACAGAAGAAAAGGCACAGAGGATTAAGAATTTACAGTTCAGTTGAAAATTTGTAAGCCTGAAAATTAAAAACAAAACTGAGAAGGAAAAAAGAAGAAAAATAAAATTAGAATTCGTCCCCGGGTGGGCTTGAACCACCAACCTTTCGGTTAACAGCCGAACGCGCTAACCGATTGCGCCACGGAGACCTCGACGGTGAGGGCGTATTAACAAGTATATAAAGAAAAATAAATTTGCGAAGACCACATTTTCTACTAGCCTCTTTTGCAGTCGTTCTCTTCAATTCGCGATCACAAAGCACTCCAACCAAGGGCACGTACATTACGTTCAGACTAATTGCCAGCACGTTATAATTGGACATCCGACTTGATCCCAGTCCCTGGGTGTAGTCCACTAATTCAAGCCCCACTGAAAACAAGTGTAAAATCAGCAGTGTGATTTTTCCAGTCTGCTTGCAGCCATTTTTCAAGCGACAACCCTTAACTTTCTCGAGCACTTCGCACCGTTTTCAAGTTTCAACCGTATTTTTAACCATTCATGCAGGTGCCGGAAAGCCCGCCAAAGACCCTGCAGAGAGTTGATCCTGGCAACGATTTACACCGTCTCACTGTCTTTGGGGCCATACAATCTCCTTTCTCAACATATACTGTGGGTGCACTTTTAATGATTAAGAGCTGGCCAGAAATTCTCACAAGTGGACTGCACCCCTGTATCGTGGTACTTCGCGCGGGCAATGAATTCCACTGAGAGCTAGGCTCTCACGGGTGGCCCCGTGACTGACGCAACTTCGAGCGTTTCGCCCGGGTCTGATCAATCATGCGACGAAGGCAAGACTTCCAACATTTTCGGAGACTCCGTTGCAGGACATTTTAGAGGAAGGTTGCCATGCGATCTCGGAATGGGAATAAATATGTTTGTGCTCAACAGTATTCCAGGACCACGTGCCCGTGGTATTGTCAACCGTTGCCGGCTGACGGAGCAGCAGGCTGCGTATAGCCATAGGGGAGGAGCTGGAGGCCACGCCCCCACATATTCCCAGTGCCCCCCAGGTGCCCCCCCACTACAAAAAAAAAACGAATGGATGGATATTAAACAAGGCGAGGCTAACATAAACTTGCCCTCCAAAACCACATCACTGAAAGCTGATGCCCCCCCCATAAGATGCTGATGCCCCTTTTGTGCCTCCCCCCACTAGTAAGATCCTAGCTACGCCACTGCCAAGCAGGTGCGGATCCAGGGCCCCCAGGCCCCTCTGAGGCAAGAAAATGTATAATAAAAACTTTAAACATGAATGTTTCATTGTCGTTTCCGCTTAAAGTTGTCTGCATGGGACATTGAGTCAGCCTGACCCCCTGGAAAAATTCCTGGATCCGCCTCTGCCAAGGGGTGATTTTCATTCTTTAATTTAAGTTTTGTACACTCTTTACTTGTTATGGACAGAAATAATGTAACACTGTTTACACCAGGGTATCCATTTATTGAACAAGCACCCTTCTCGGTCATTACATTTCTAATACAATATGAAAACGATTCACCTGATAAATAACGAAGGTAATGATTGTTTTTCCTGACATCTACCGGATTGATCACAACAGCTTCCTCCTTACAGTCGTTAATTTCAAGCACAGTCTTATCTGGATGATCATTAACACACTCTGAAGTTCAAATTACTGCATCGCCCCAATCAATTAATTTTTCTTCTTCGAATAGACACCGGTATAGTAATGCTGAACACGACCAATGACTCATCATCCATGCGGGTCATGGCCTTGTTTTTTGGGGTGTTTTTTCCCCTCGTATATAAATAATGCCCCTGATATAACAGAGTTACTTGCACTGTGTGGTACACACCTTAAACAGGTACACAAGGTCTTGCTTTTGCCAACTTGAACCCGACAAAAACTTCGGGATACGGCCGCAGCGCAGGTGCCGCTCCGGGACACAAGTTGAATAGCGCCCTCTATACACGTGCCTCTACTCAAAAATTAAAGGTCGCCTTTCCCACGCTCTGCAAGACATTCCGGCTTGTAAGGGGATTCCCACGGTTTTATTTTTTCGGCAACGATTGGCAGGAGTTTCTACAATTTTTGATCCTAAATTCAAAGTAAAGGGATGCTTATAAGTGTTGTTCTGTCTTACGTCATACAAGAATGTTTTCATCAAACTATACAACCCTCGTTATGTTCCACAAATTATCATCCAAGAAGATACCTAACTTTATCACCAGATTGTCAAAAACAGTACTTATTATACAAGCAGTATGTCACACTATTTCGCCCGCTAAAGTTGGTCCAAGTTTTCACGACATATTAAGATAACAGGAAAAAAGCACACGTAAAATGTTTCACAAATATCAGCAACAACAACCAAACAGCATGTGATGATAACAAACACACAAAAAATTGAATAAAGACCCTAATGAAAACATTTGAGGGACTATTCTATGTAGTAAGCAAGGGCAGCCAAGTACAATTCTACTTAAAATTTTACTTACCAGAAATATGCTAAGCCTGCAGTCGTCAAAGCACAGTATGTTACTTTTAAAGCGATAATAATTTAAGCTAAGCAAGTTTTTTTCGCTTAGCAAAAATATTAATAAACCAGTCAAACATGACGTAGTCATGACACTCTGGTAAATCTTTGTAAATCCCCCAGATCTTTTAACACTGTTTATAATCAATTGACACTTCAAGATATAGCGTACGGGAAATCAAGCGCTGGCTGTTTTTAGACTTCCCCTCGAGACTCAAACTGGTACCCAGGGAAATGAGAAACATGTATCTTTATTTAAGCCTGAGGATACACACTCCCTCTTCCCCCTTGAGAAATGAATCTTAACTACTTCAAGCCCACAGAATTACACCCTTCTCCCAGAAAAAGGAGTGATTCAACTGAGCCTGGACACAGTCAGCGTGGCCTAGATAATAAGAGTTTTTAGTATTAATGAGTGTATATCGGGAATAGCGAATAAATGTTTCAAGTAAGTTACAAATTTTAGTCTGATCCCTCTACCCAGCCAAAAATCCGTACCTTTCAGTGTGTGGCGTGGACGTATCAAAAGCTGTGTTTCCACACATTCACAACACAAGGTCAGCACCTCCTTGGTGCTGAAGGACGAAATTTTCACGACTTTATCACCTACTATTCATCTTGTACATTCGACTCTTCGATATATGAACATCATAATCATAATACGCCGGCGCATTTTCACCAGAAGAATCAAGAGCACTTTACTGACGTCCAAAGTCCCTTGAATTCTTCTGTTTTTCATTCTTTTTCTACAGTCCTTGTACAACAAGAGTCTCAGTTAATTAAAAGAAGTTACTTTTGGCTAGTCCCAGCAGCCCTTTCATAATGACAGTCGAAGGTACTTAGACGTACCTGCAGACCAAAAGAAGGCTCTAGTACAGCCTTCCAATGCGTCCACTGGAAGTCTCAACTTTCGGTCGTACTATTTCGATACAATCGTCCTTTGCACAAACATTTTACATATATACAGACATTTTTGTACAGGCATGTTTATTTTACATATTTACAGTGATGGAATGTGGAATACATTGATCCAGACAATACAACAAACTGAATTTAATTACTGGTAGTCATTTTGCAAGCGAAACGCATTGTTGCCTCCGTTTTCCCTAGAGTGTTTGAAAAAGTTTTGGACGTGAATGGATGAATACATGTACAAACTTCAATGTTCTTAGTGCTGAATTATGCCATCATATGCCCCTAAAACTAAAATAAAAATAATAACTTAGATTTATTTCTTTTGTTACATTTAACTAAAATTTTAAGGAAGTCTCAGAGGCTTGAAAGGTTCCTTCAACTTAGATCCATGTATATTCGACTGTCCACACTCTTTTCGGTAACTGGTTTCCGTTGAAGCTGCTGACTGGCGTTCTCCTCTGGGGGTGGTTCCACGGGCGCCTGCTGCACGGACGACCGCCTGGCGTCTTTGGTCGTGCAAAGCGCCGTGTAATTCGATTCACTCATGATGATATCGGCATTGATGTAAGTGTGCCGGCTGGGGTTGGCCACCCCCGACGACTTGAGGGTGAGCCTGTTGAGTATGTGTTGCCGCCGCACTTGGCAGTCGGGGTCCCCCACGCTTTCCGTGATCACGTAGCGGCTGTCCTGTTCGAAGCTGCTGAGCGAGCTCCGGGTGGCGTCGCTGTCGCTTCTGTAGGCGCTGGGCCGCATGTAGACCCCTTCGCTCTGCATCTGGTTGTAGGCCCGCGCCGCTCGGGAACGCAGTGGCACGATGTTCCGCGACATGGGCCGCCGGCTCTTCAGCGACCGGAGGTTGGGTGGCCGCCCGATAATCCTGGGGAGGAGGCGGTGGTACCAGGACCAGAAGAAGACGGTGCAAAGGAGACAGGTCAAGAAGAAAGTCAGGAAGATCCACAGGGCCACTTTGGTGGGATTTGTATCGCAGTTGGTCTCGTTCCAATAACGGTCGTCGTCCGAGTGCGGCGGCTTTTCCCCCGGAAGTCTGGGGTTATTTTCCCTCCCCGGCTTCCCTGGCTTCAACGGTGTGAGTTCATCCGGTGGTTTGTTGTCAGGGAGAGTCCCAAAGGGCGTTACCAAGTGGACATATGGAGTTATCGGTTTAAGCACGCCGGAGGAAGTCGAGGGTGCCACCCTAGCCGGTGTCACAGGGACAACCCCTTCCGTTGCAGCGGTAGTGATTGGTAGGTTAGGATTCCTTTCGACTTTGAGTGCTACCGGAATGGTGGCCATACCGGCCGGGTTAGTCCCAACGCAGGTGAAAAGTCCGGTATCGGCCATGGTAGCTCTAATGACCATCATGGGGCCGTCATCTGAGACGAGGTACCTCCCAGACAGCACATCGGGGAGGAGCTCTCTCTGATTGGGGGACCGCCAGGAGATGATCGGTGAGGGGAACCCGCCCGTTCTGCTGCAGTCCAGCGTGATGTTGTGGCCCTCCAGGCCGATGACTGCGGCCTTGCGGGCCCACACGGAAGGCGGGGTGCAGATCAAGTCGGATGCCGGAGCGGCTGTAAGACGCATCTGGCTCATGGCTGATGGCAGGTCACATCGCGGGATCTCGGAGCTCCGGTGCCGCCGACCGCTGTTGATGAACCACTGGCGGAGGTGTTTGAGGCGGCAGTCGCACTGGAGCGGGTTGTTGACCAGCAGGAGGCGATTCAAGACGGGGAGGGAGATCAGGACATCCTTGGTAAATGTTGAAAGGTGGTTGGAGGTAACATCCAAAGTGAGCAGCGATCTGCTCGCAGGTAGAGGGGGAAAGACGCTCAATTGGTTGTTGCCCAAAGACAAGACGCGCAGCCTTGACAATGTTGCAAAGTGATTGGCCGACAGCGACCTCAACAAGTTGTTGTGCAGATACAGTCTCTCCAGGAAGACCAGCTGGCGGAATACATACTCGGGAAAAGTCTGAAGGGCGTTAAACGACAGATGGAGGTCCGTCAGGTCCCCTAACCCGCTAAACCCTTCGGATTCGATCGTGTCGATAGAGTTGCTCGAAAGAATCAACTCTTTCATCCGTCCGCAACCAGCAAATGAATTGTTCTTGATTCTCCGTATATTGGAATCTGTTACCTCAAGATCACCGAGCATGCGCAAGCCGCTCAGGTCCGGCAGAGTGGTGAACCGGTTACCATCCAGATCCAACTCAACCAAGCTCCTTAATCCGGTCAAGAAGCGATTGGTGGTACTCAGCTGGTTTTCCTGCAGCATGAGTCTCCGGATGTTAACCATGGGGCTGAAGACTGCATCAGGCAGGGTCAGCAATTGATTACCAGCGATATTTAAGTCTCGTATCTCCGTCATAGCCGCGAACGCATTCACATGTATCGATGTTATGCTGTTGCCTTGCAGATAGAGGTTCTGTAAGTTCCTCAGACCGGTAAACGTCCCGGCCCCTATCCGGTTAATCCGGTTGAAACTCAAGGTCAGGCTTTTGAGCGTCCTCAGTGCGTTGAAGGCCCCATCCGCGATGGTCGATATCACGTTGTTGGACAGGTCCAGTGACCGGAGTCTGAAGTAGCCGGTCAGCATTCCGCGGGGTAGGTGACCGATGTTGTTTTGTCCCATGTCTATATTGACCGCCTGGTTGAACGACAACGGTAAGCATGTCAAGTGTCGGCCGTTGCAGTCTGCCAAGGCGATGTCGACAGTATAAGTGCAGGCTGTGGCAACGCAGAGGTTCTGTTTCGGTGGGCGTGCGCCGGCTACAGGCGTCTGAGAGGAAACACATACGGTAAGGTACAATATCATCGCGATGGGCAGACAAACGCGTCTGGAAATCGACGACATACTTGCCATGGGAGAGGAGTCCGAAGAAGAAACTGGAAAGATAAAAACAAAATGTCGTCTTTCAAATGTACAATTTCCTCTAAGCTCATGAGTCATCAGTTCGTGCACTCTACGAGCTGAGATCACCCTCGTCAGTTAGCTTGATACAGAAAGCCACAATAGCGGGTTTTCAGGTATATTAAACTGAATGGTTTAAGCTTTACATTGGTTCTAAAAAAGTCAAAAAGCCGCTTGCGACAAGTCCTGAAACGCACTAAAGAATTGCAGGAGCAAACAAGCTGGCCCTCTAGCTCTCCGTTGACGGTATATCCGTACTGTTACGGGGGACAGAGACACTGACTTGTGACCACCGCAGTCGCTTGCGTGAGCCAATCTGAGCTATACCGGCAAAAAATTAAAGCGTCAACTTATTACATAGCCGGGGATTAATCCGGGACCAGGCCAGGAGACACGGGGCATGTTATCGCGGGATGGGGTAAGGAAAAAGGATTAACCCCGGCGTGAAGTCTCCGTGCTTAATGTTGGGCCAACTAAAGCATGCCTGTACCACAATGATACCCTGGCCACTCGGGGGCATGAAATCATTAGAAAAGTTAGATTACTCGGCAAAAAATGGCAGGCTATTAGGAGGCGAGGGGGAAGACCCGGAGACGCGTTTCACTCAACGCGCCTCGCCTGGGCATAAAAAGGGGGATTGTTTATAATCCCGAATAACGATGCTAAATCATTGATACTAATATCGCCAGGCCTGTCTGTGGTCAGTCATTTTGTGAGTTAATGATAATTGACCGACGCAAGACGGCGGGAGTGATGCCAGCGCACGATACGGAACGAGGAAACCAGACGCACGCCGAGCTGGGAGAACTACGGATCGCGCCATGTGTCGGCACAGTGACGAAAAATATCGGCCGTTAATGTTGCGCAGAGAAAACATTAAACTTCTCTCCCACTTGTTTCCTATATGCTATGACTATATGAAGTTAATTCCATTAAGAAATTAGACATCCGCGACTAAGTTTAACCCTAATTGTTACGTTTTAGTGTTTGTAATAACTGCACTTAGCAAACCAAAGTATGACCATTTTGAAGCAGGTTTCGAATATGTCGACGAACAGTTCGTTTGTGAGTTTCTGTTTCAGCATGTAATACCCAATCACGGGACCAAAAGTAATCGTTTTACTTACAGATAACTTGGTGAGTATTACCACACGTTAATAGCTGGCTTTCGCTGTGATGTATATATGGATATATTCCCAAGACAGGCCCCCGCTCAATCACATGAAATCCAGTGTTCACAGTGAATCACAGAGATAGCTTCTCGATCGCTCACTTCAGCTTACTGCAATTCCTGCATCACCGCCTGAGCAACTAGACCTGCGCACCAGTGCTGCAGTTTTCCCTTTTTGCGCAGTCACCGCTTTAATGTTGGACAGTACCGGTCTAAGCAGCGCTATATTTATCCCCACTGCTATGCGGTCCGATTACATGACCTTCCCTGAACAGCAATTTCCCCCACCCTCGAACTGTTGGTAATAACTGCTACGTGACAACTGAGGACACACTCGGAAGAAAACAATATAATGGACAAGGTGAACATGGTTCGGCATGGCTACTCCTTAAGTCGGCAGCGGAAGATTAACAAGACGTCACAAAGGTCATTTAAGGTCGCACACTACAAGCATCCGCAGTAGAAACAAACATTTCAATCATTACCACGTGCCCCAATAGGATCACGGTGTGTAGAGGCGTCTCCCTCCCCCTCCCCGCAATATTTGGTCAATCTTTGGCGGTCAACTCTACTATCGAAGAATCCCCCTGTGCATCTTGTTAGCCTATCCGCCTCGAGCAGAAGCACCCCCTCTTCGGTAGAAAAGAGCCGCGTTGGTCGGCAGTGTTCATTTTCTTGATAGCGATGCGACCGTGACGTGTGCATTTCCTAGTCGTTCGTGAACTAGCGAAGTTCAGTTCCGACAAAAGAGCCTCCGTTGCTAAGAAAATAGTTCCTTCTCTTGAGGCCTATAACGCGCGCCTAGTACTCTCTAGTACTTTACATGCCTAGAAAACGTGGTAGTACGGCTGCCCATGGGGGATTGTTAACCCTAACAGTCCTGAATCCTCCAATTTTAATATGATTTTGCACACACCCTAGGGGGTTTAGGGTTAAGCATCAAACAAGCCTATAAGCAAATAAAATGTACTGCAATTTCTGTGCTGATTTCAGTAAGCGGAAACAGCGTTGTACAAACTCATTTTGGCAAAGATTAGAATTGCGTCTCTTTTGTAATCTCATACAAGGAGCCCGGAAGTCGGTCTTTAATTGTGGTCGTTTATAGTTACGGGCTTATGCCATATGATAAAGAAAAGTCACCGGCATGCCGGTTGCCCCCCGATCGGATTTATCAATCCGGTCTGGAAAGATTACAAACTGAAGGGAAAATATCCGCTTTGATTATTTTCTTTTCACTGATTGTATTTGAAAGTATGCTGAACTGGAATGCTGCTGGCTTGAGTATCAGGTTTTGGTAAGGTTGGATGGTGGCGTAATCACTCTAGGTGCATGCTTGACCGTTCTAAACGACTGCCCCTCGGGGCCAGGGTCCGATTTGGCGAGACAGCCAAGCCAGACTAAGTCGATGGATATATTACGAACAACGATTGACTGCTTTCCATAATTCCACGGGAAAACTAACGAAATCTCAATCTTCCCAAAGTCCCTTGGTTTGTTTGGTAAGTGGAACATGGCGAAGTAGGCAGTGCACAAAATCGGTTACTAAAACAGACAGTTCAGCAGTCGAGATGATCAATGACTTTACACATGTAGGCCTACATGTACTTAGGCCTATGTTTAGCGTGCCACCGAAGAATAGAAACTGATACCAAGAAGTGATAGGGCTGAAGTCAAAGTGAAAATGGAAACAGGTATGGTTGACACGGAACTATCCGCTTTTCGATCCGGAGGGAGTTTGAACCGCGATAGACGAGTTGGGTAAAAAAGATCGCCAAACTCGGCAAAGTCACGCCAGAAAAGTCAGGGAATGACCTCAAATGACATGGGAGCAAATATCGATAACCTTCTTGAAGTCCGTCCTGCACAACTTACAAGTAAAGGATAAAGCACCTGACTTCCTGTGCCGAAAATCAAGTGGCGGCAGTGGTCAGTTCTCACAGTTCCTCCATTTCCTCTTTGCCACACTGTAGCGGATATAAAGACGGTGCCGATAAAATAAAGACAAAGATTGCGATCAGCTGACCCAGTCCCATTAACCTTTGCCAGTGAAAAGAAAAACAGACAAAAATTTGTGTGATGCTGGTAATGTGATGAAATTTCCAAGATAAACAGATTACCACGAGGCTCCGCGGAGGCCAGCGACAAATGACTAAACCGGTAGACCTGTAGGGGTTTCGGGATTAACACCTTCATGTTTGAGGGAACACTTTACAGGTTTCCGAATGATCAGGTACGATTCACCCAGTTGCCATGGCGAAAGATTGGGAGCTGAAAGGTGTAGAACACTCGCACAGTACGTGCAGTCGTTAGCTGGGCGATAGGTCAGCCAGATTCTTTTAACGCCCCGGTCGTAAACGAGGCTGCAATGCACAGGCAACAGATTCTTCAGTAATAGCTAACAGCACATTACTGGCTAGGACAGTTCGGGATTTTTAACAGACGATAATCCTACGGTTGGCACACAAAAAAAGAGTATTCTGCTACATGACACCCAGTTAACTTGAGCAACATAAATTCAGTAAAACGGAAGACCGTTCACAAAATTTCACAAACAGGATAACACTTTAAACTTTTAAATCAATCTTTTGACGGATATACCCTTTGGCTTCAATTCAGAGTGTAAAACACCAAAAGTTCCCAGACGGGAATTGTTGAAAATTAAAAATAGTCTATGATAGATAGTTCTTTGTCAATGTCGTGAAGGAAATGCTGCACGAGGGAAACCTTTTAAGCACTCCTGGGTGTGGTTGGAGCACAAAAGAATTTAAAACGTGCCAAGGGAGAAGAGGGCTTTAGGCAGCTGACAAGCCTGCGACTGATGACCCTGAATTGGCCAGCCTGCGACCGATGACTCTGAATTGGCCAGCCTACGACCGATGACCCTGAATTGGCGATTGGAGTTTCTGGAATTGTGGTCGCCGTCTCGGCAAAAAAAAGAAGCCATCTCGAAGGGTTAATTACCCGAGATTATGGATCAATTAGACGAATGGAACACAGACGACAACAGGGACATGCGATCCAGATTTATGGGTGTATAGATCCAGATCTCTCCCACTCAGTGACTGCACTCGTGACAAAGTCCAGCCGTCATGGAGCTCTAATTATAAATTAGAGCAGGCACGAGAGTGCATTTGGCTTGGACTTGAGCAGCGGCATCCGATTGCTTGTTTATGTCGCAAACTTGAGTGAAAGTTTTTCAGCAGACATGACAAAAACTAATTCAGAACGATGGATTACAATTCCTTCCTTTTAGACAACCCTCAATCCACGAATCGTGCAAGACTCCTTTAAACTTTGCTCAATATTTTCTCTCGAAATCCAAACAGCGCCAAAGATTTATCTGGGAGAGTTTATCGTCGCAGTTCCCGCTCCCCTTAAGACAGGGATTTTGCCCTGCGGGTCTTTGCGGGAGGCAGCCGACCGAAGAAGTGGGAAGCCAACCAAGCATGACTGATGGGAAAAGGTGGTGGGGATGAAAGATGAAAATCTTGAGTACAACTCTACCACAGCTAAGGAGTCAGTTTGAGAAGCTGGGAACAAGGGTCTTCACCTATAATCTCTATACCTGTAGGCACATCTTGTTTTGACTATTTTCACAGCGTGAACATGTGGGATGGAGGTTTAATCAGGAAGTTATCTCAACTCCGTTGGCGGTGGTTTGTGCATGGCCGTGATTTGTCCAGAGCAGGTCGTCTGCGGTTTTCTCAAAGCGAGAGCTTTTTCGAACCTATTTTTGAGTGTGCTAATCATTCACAAGATTTAGTGGTTTCAGCCCTGGGTTTCGTTTCTTGTTGGAATTTACCA